TTACACCGTCCGGCAAATCGGGAGAGAGTTCATCCCCTACTNCTCTCTCTCTCTCTCTCTCTCTCTTTCGATACTCCAAACTTGATATTCCACCGGCGCGCTAAACTTTCGTCGCTTCCTCTTCGATCGTTGTTCTTTATAGTTATGAGTATCGTGGTAAACAATCGAACGTTGATGATACACGAGATGATCGAAAAGAAACGTAGGGAATAAAACGAGATATTTTCCACGAAAACAATTCTTACGATACTTTGTTCGACTTTTCTTCAACAATTTTTTTATTGCCAGCGGGCTAAAATTCAAATTTGATTCCCTTCCAAGAATATATCTCTTCATCGAAATTTTCGATTTATTTTCACCTATAAATCTGTGCGTATAGGAATGCGAAATTTTCTTTTCTATGCTATCCGAATTTAGCGAACTACTCGAAGAAGACTGTCTTGGAAAGCGTAAGAGGGATCTGTCTAGCCTTCGTTTCCAAGATATTCTGCATAAAACGAACGCTCGGGATGAGATGAAATTTTGCGTGAATGAGAGGTTACACGATGAACAACTAGGGATTCCGTATATCGAAGACCGCATAAATTGCGCGGAATAAATCTATATCGGCGTAAATTTCTCCTCCTCTTATTGAAACCTACATTAATATCGTTGACGAAAAACTTGAATTTTCAGATCGTTTTTTTCTTTTTTTGAAAGTTTAACGAGCGCGGCGAAGACATAACGCTAGTACACCTTCGACGATCCAATTTTTCATTGGAAAAAGATTATTCAATTTTTTTTCACCAACCGTGAAATATGAATTCACGGTTGCGTAACTCTCTTGTGTCTATTTCTTCGAACATCGTTGGATCTTTGGAAAAATATCTGCGAATTTTAACCAACATCTCGTATATATCTTCCGGATACAAATATGACAAAGAGATATTTGCACGGTTCGCGCGATAAAGGGTCCTTAAAACATCACCGATTCACTTGTATTCACATTGTTTCAACGGCAATATATATTTTATGACACAATATTCTCGCGCGGGCAGCCAAAACGATATTTCAATCGAATATCGATCCAGACGTCCTCGATTTATCGATCGAATTCGTTCTGTAATAAAACAAAACAAAACAAAAAAAAAAAAAATAGTTACACGCGTACGATCGAATAAAAGAGAAAACACGAGGGATTGTATTAACCACGACGTATAAAAACACGATGGCCGTAAAATTAATAACGGGAGAACAATACTCGATGATTACACTTTTATTTCGCAATTCGGAATAAAATTTCGAATTCGCTTTCGAATTACTGTTTTTCTTTTTTCTTTTTTTTTTTTTTTTACAATGTCAGAAGAGATACTAAAAATGCGAAGAAAGAAACGAACAATTTACGGAACGTTTGTTTCACTTCTCTAACGTATTTGGAAAATTATTATTATGAAAAATTACTTTACACGCATCGTATAAATGGTACCGCCGTTATACAAATGTAACCGAGAGAAAGAATCATATAAAAAGTAACATTCGGTTTTCTTTCGTCGATCGAGGGCACATGGAGAAATCGCATTACTCCGTTGGATTCCGTTCTCACGTCGTTTCCAATCCCGCAGTCTTCTCGCCGGCACACCCCTTACATCAGACAGCGGCCAGACCCCTCTCCCGACAACGCTGTGTGACTTATAGACTTTGTTTTACTTAATAATAAAGTTCCAGTGGATAAAGGTAAAGTTGCAAGATAAATGGTACGCCAGCCGCGTACTGAAAAATGATAACCAGAGACTCGCCGCGACACCCAGCTCAGGGAAACACTTTCAACCCCACGTTGCTCCGCCCTATAACGGTATGAAAATCATTTACCTCAAGCCTCGTGTGCATGCACCTAGCGCGTACAAGACGTTCGATAACGTGGTAAGGAAAAAGAAAAGAAAGAAAAAAAAAAAAGAGGGAAATATTTGTTCGAGATAAGAGTAATTAAGAGAGCAATTTATAACACGGAAAAATAATTGGAGAGATTAAAAAAATAATCGATGGTCACTAATATTTATATACGTAAATAAATACGATGTTAAATAATATAACAGATCATTTTAATTAACGTAGATTAGATTAGTTTAATAGGCATATCGTTTATATAAAATTAATACTGTGCACGATGATTGCGATTACACGACTAAAGGTTAAAGAAACGCTTTATTCCAAACGGTTTATTACTTGACTTTGTTCGTTTTAATGATTGAACAAATATTCCCGAATATGGTACAAAAGAAAAAATTACATCTACTACAAATAATAATTATTTAAAAACAATAAAAATCGTTAGAAATTAACACGCTTCGATCTCATCACGATCTTATCACGATCTTCGTATCGTACACCGCTTCGGATCTCAATTTCGTGGTCCCTATAAGATATCTCCTGTGTATCGTTTTATCCTTTACGAATCTCTTCTCTTCCCAGACGAGTAAAAAAAAAAAAGAAAAAAAAAAGAAAAAGGAAAGCAATTACTTTCCCTTTCCTTGTCGGCAAAGGATCAGAGCGTCAAGTGGACGACCGAATAGTTGATTTGAAACATAGAAAACTACTCAGCCGAAAGTAACGGTCCGAAGTTGAACAATGGTGGAAGAAGCGCACGACGGATACTTCCTTTTACTTTTTGCTCGCCGGTTTCTTTTTGATCGTGGCCGTATTCAAGGGCCCGGTCCCCGACTCGACGCTCGAACACTTTTCACCCTCCTTCCGTTGCAACGTAGGAATGCTCGACTTCCCATCGCAAGCCACGGTCACGTTTACCACTTTGCCGCTGGCCACCGCCTCCACCCTGTGCACGATTTCCGCCTTCTCGGGGTACGGGGGGATGGCCGCCCTCTCGGTTCCGCCCGAGGGCTCCTCCACGCGCCTCGAGAACGAGGGTATCCTGGTGATCTTCGGCTTCTCCTTCAAGGGTGGCTTTTCCCTCTGCTCGCCCGAGGGCTTGTCCCTCTCGACGCTCTGGCAGCTCTGCTCCGGGGGCGGGATGGCCGACACTTTCGGAATATTCCTGTGATCCCTGCTCCTCTGCAAGCTGGACGTAGGCTTGATGATGATCTTCGGTTGTTTCAAGCTCGAGGAGGACGAGGAGGAACCCTTCGTGTCCCTGGCCGTGATTATTATTCGCGGCTCCTTTCGCGGCTCTTGGCCGGGTTGGCCGCTCGGCGATCCGGAGTCGGGGGAGGAGCACGAGGTTAGGGGGCAATCCGATTCCAGTTGCTCGATCGAGCTGGTATTGGATCTGCTCGACTCGTGCGGGGATTTAATTTCTCTGNGGTACCTGGGATCCTCGTGTCCCAATTCGAGCCACCGAATTGAGGCTGTTTCTCCACTTCTCTGATAGTGATCCTGGGCTCCGAGGACGCCGTCCCTATACAGATATCGTTCCCCATCGGAATTGATTTGTACCAGTTAGGATTACCGATACCCGACTGCAACAAGGCGATCGGATTCCCTATGTCCTTGCCCACGCTCTGGAAAATCGGTTGGCCGATTTCGTGGCCGGGATGATGGCACGCGTTGCTCGAGTAAATCGTGTCCACGCTGCCGCCACCGCCGCCCTGCGCCCTGCTCGACCTGTTGTCCATCCTTTCGTCCAAGGAGTCGATGATACTCGGGTCGGAATTGTTCTTCGCCGAATAGTCCTGCCTTCTGAGCAACGGGCCAACGTGAAGATTAGTAACGATCGTCTCCGTTTCGGATTGATTCTCGCTCTCCTCGGCGAACTCCAAGCTCTTGGACGGGCCGAACGTCCTCGGCGGGGGTTGGGGGGGTTGATGAGAGGACGACGACAAAGACGAGTGGAATCCGCTTCTGTAATCCTTCAAAGAACCGGCGCCCTGTTTGGACGCGAACAAGCTGCTGGGCGCCGGGAGGGATCGCCTTTTCTCGATGTCTGGCAGAACTTTGGGATAGTTTCTCCTCTTGATGGTCCTCAGGGCTTCTTCCGGGCTCACGCATTCCCTCTCCTCCGGGCTGGACTCCCTGCAGGTTACGTTTATATCCCCGCAAGTATCCGCAGGAGGTGGCGAACCGAACGTAGTCAACTTGGGCCCCATTTTCACGTAAATATCCTCGGTCTGATCCATCGCCGATCCTTCCCGAT